CGCGACAGACTATATAAACGCCAATTTGTAACCATATTATCACCGAGAAAAATTATGAGATATGTATATATAACCGCCATGTTATTTTTACTTCCATTTGAACATCAATTTTTATTTTATTTTTTTTTATTCGTGCAACATAAATAAAATATTAAGCTTACTTACTGTAATGTTTTATAGAAATGAAATGCGAGTGAAGTCGGTGTAGGTGACGTCATGCTGGCAGATATACCCCCATATCAAGAATACTGATTCATGCACTGGTTAATTAGTGTACTAGCATTTTCATCAATCAACAGAATGAGGTTATTTATCATTGAACACAAGCAGTCTCGTAATATGACACACATAACATATAAAATATGTGAATTGTTTCAAACATATCAAAGCTGGTCGACACACTAAACACAATACTCTTCTTTGTTTGGACAGTTCATGCAGCCCTTAGAAGAATAAACGTATACATTCGTGTTACTATAGTTCCTCAAATTGACGTTGCACAATCCGGTTCGTAATTTGTTTGTCGGTGTCTGAATCAAAACACTTTCGCCCAAGCCCTCCAATTGTAAAATGGTTAAACCATAATTTCTATTGGAGAGATAATAATAATTTTTAGAATTTTATAAAAAATATATCAGTGTGCCATAGATTGAAAGCGTTGTTTATGCAGCAAACGGCAAGTGTTCTTCGATAACATAATGAACTACGCACTTTGAATTAATAATACGTAAATAATTCTAAATGCCGTGCATGCGCATGTGCGTAATTCTTTAAAAACAATTTCAGTTTCACGATATGCCATCAGTGTTATTAAATATTGAATTAAACATATTGAAAAATACTATTATCAATATTCCACCTGAATATGAATTAACATCGCCAAGAATGACGTGGCTGTCATGTATACTTATGAATATAGCGTTATTTGGAAGAATAATAAAGTCTTGAACACGTATTGAGAAATCACCACCGCTTGTTGTTGATTTATTGAATTGGTAGAACACGCTCTATATTTGTACAGCTGCACTGTGACTGTGCTGCCGCTATGTAACTACACTGGATACATGCATACGAGCGAGTTACTGATATGCACTTTCTAACATGTATGTAGAAAAATTATTCATCGTTATATTTGAATTTTATTAAAATCAAATATTAGGCTCAAATATTGTTTAGGTACGTATAGTTACAGCGAACGTGGTACGATATATAAATCTTAATGGCGACAAGCAAAAGCACGAAAATTATTCATAGACAAACAAAAATAACAATACAAATAAATTAAAATACAAAAATTAAAAAAAGGAGCTTATACCTACATCGGATTTTAATAAGATTGATATTACCTCTGCGTCGTGAATAACGTCGATATGTGGAAGTACGTTTGAATTTGCTCCTGGTCAACCCGAGAATCTTATTGAACATATACTAAATCAAGAGACTGTGTTTACTTTATATCATGGGATGACAGAATAGTGGGTTACACATGACGTGGGAATAACTAGGTGTGTGGGTTCACATAAGGTAGGGGTGGGCGAATAGGTGGGTTCACAAAATGTATAAATGAAAGTGTGTGTGAGTTTACGTAATGTAGGGGTGTGTGAGGGATTGTGAAGTAGTTACTCTGGTAGTGACGGGGTTGGTGGGTATACATAACGTGGGAGACAGGTTGTCGCTCTACACAAGATTGCGAATAGTGACATGTGGGGTTCATGGGTTGGGTGGGCCCACATAATTTGGATGAAGGGTGGGTGGGTCTACACAACTTTGACATAACTGGGTTGGTGGTGATATGGGGATGACGGGAATGGTTGGTTTACATGAAGATGGATTGAGGGTGGATGAACCTATATAATGTTAGGGATTGTAGGCTTATATCGAGTTGAGATGACGCGTTGGATTGGTCTTCCTATGGTGGGGTGATGGGTGAGCAATCCTACATAAGTTAAGGGCGGACTGGAATGACCACTTGAGGGGATAACGGGTAGGGGAACAACAGGGTGTGTGGGGCTATATGGGGTGTAGGTGGGGTCTAAATAAAGTGGTGATCACCGGGTGTGTGGGTTCATGAAGTAGAGGATAACAGGGTATGTCGGTTTATATTAGGCGGGGTATAAAGTGGGGATGACATGGATGCGTGGGTCTGGGGATGTATAACATTCATAACTTCGATAACCATTTATAGCCAAGAGGTTATGAAAAATGTAGGATTTCGATAAATAAATAAATAAATAAATAAATAAATAAATAAATAAATAAATAAATAAATAAATAAATAAATAAATAAATAAATAAATAAATAAATAAATAAATAATAAATAATAATAAATAAATAAATAAATAAATAAATAAATAAATAAATAAATAAATAAATAAATAAATAAATAAATAAATAAATAAATAAATAAATAATTAAATAAATAACAGGGGGATATATAAGTGACTGTGGTACGTAAAATCAGTGAGAGAATATAATTGGTGCTATTATTGAACTTAATACGCCGATTGTCAATATAATGTTGATTGATTGCAACCCCAAAATATATTCACCTTTAACAAACGTACTGTGTATATATTAGTTTTCCGTTAAATTAATTTGGTAATGTCGACCTAGATATGACGCCTACTGTAATGAAAGCGGTATATACAAACGGTTGGTTACCGCTTTTCAGAACACAACTCTATGCATACATCCGTTAAAGAAATAGTTGACCCATTAGGCCTAGATTTGCTTTGGGCACCTGCAAATCAGTTCCATTTTACAGCAGTGCACATATCAACTATTTACATCCGAAACTATTGTAGTTTCCGGAAATGCTACTATTATCCAGAATCAAGTCCATAGTTACGCATAGTTGCTGGGAAGCCAACCAGAATAACCAATCATTTTATTACAGTAGCCACGGCAAGCTGATAAAATAACGCACGTTGGCATTATGGTAAGGTATGTATATAATGCGATTAGTTATGAACATGGATGCCTTTGATGTAAACAAGTACTTTGATCCGTAATCTGCTTCAGAACGCCACATTTGGTAGCCCTGGGATATATGTTGAGCAGGATGTGTCGATGAGAACGACTACCGCCGTGTACAACGGTAGATTGTTCATCACAAGGGTGATATCAACCCGTTGTATACTAGCCCAAATATATCACTGGAAATAAGTTGAAATTAAATGAAACGAAATGAAATGTCAGTCAAATTCAAAATCCAGAGAGTTGGAGCTTTATACTACCCAGAATTCCCCTAGAGACTAGTAAAGCCAACTGACGGACTCGGAGCAATGTGAAAGCGAGGTTGATCGGAATTCGTTGCGTTGTCACTGACGCCTATATCTAGTATACTGTATACTATACTCACCGTTGCTAGTCGATTTGTTCAATTGATCCCTATACGCAAGCACTCTCCTGCTCCATAAACCGTTGTCAATATAATATTTTAGCTAGTACGCACGTATCAACAAGGTAATTCTACAAATTTACACGTAAACTTATTTACGGTGGCCATCCCGAGGAAAACTCATAATTGTATTAACCAGATGAAATGAGGAGAATTGGCATCGATTAAATAATTGAACTTGAATAGAACGTGATTGGGAGGTACCGTCTGATGTTGATTACTAAGTATGGCCATGCTTATGAAAAGATAAACAGGGTAATTCGCAATATTGATTGGAAGAGAATAGTTTCATGTCAGCACCTGTTTACTAAATAATTTACATGGCCAAAATGAGAAACATTCGTGGTCATTACTGTGAGCGTGCGTGCGTACTGCATCGAGTATTGCAATGCAGTGCTTGTATCGATCAAGGGTGGGTTATTTGGGCGCGTGGCTGCAACGTTTTGATTATTTCGCTTAAGACTTTCTGAATGTAATTGCATTTAACACGTAGTAGTGGCTATCCCTGGTGAGGCGGGGACGGATGATAGACATCGCGTTTTTTATGGCATGGATTGTGCTACGATATTATGAAATAGTTCCGTGATGAGGTCACCCTAACCTGGTGATCATACCGCAAGGTCAATCAATCTGAATCGGAGGACTACCACTGATACACTGACTAGCGGTTCAGACTGTGATTGTATGGTGCTGTGTACTGCTTTTCACGAAGAACACCCCTGCACCTGTGACCAATCCGCATTAGTAGACGAAGCTTTGTACTTATGTGATCATACAACTGATGCAATACATGCCTAAGTGTTTGGTTTATATTTTTTTTTTCAAATAATAAAGCCATGAAAATAACTCAATATACCGATGATCGACTAACTGTGAAAACGCTTTTGTTGAACGTAACCGCCCTGAATGGCAATCGTTTGATGACGTCATCCTCCCGGAGGCTTAGTACGTGCCATGCTTCTCTGCCGACCGGTTATACATTTTCCTGCCTCACAATGTTATGCTGGAGTTAGTTTCTGATCGTCAACAGACTATGGTATCGCGAGGCACTCCGTAGCCCGTGAGCGAATGTCGACGTATTATTCACTTTAAAATTTCAGGTGTGTCTTGATGGTGACGAAACTTGAATTATGCATGGTGTACGTATCGTCAATGTGGTTGTTGGGTTGGTGTTGCTAGCTTTTTTTGTATCTTCTCATTACTTCCTGTATAGTAAAACTGCTAAATTGCGTCGACTTTCGTGTCCTACTATTTTCAGTCAATTGGATTACGATTAAGCTTGTTGTATATTTTTGACAATTGATGTAATCTGCTTTATTTCAGACTATCGGTAGGTTGTACTTAGAGGACATGGTCGGGAATACCAATTTAATCTTGTTCACGACAAACACTGTGTGCCGGGCAGCCGACCTGCCTGCCGTAAACACGCCGAATACCGTGAGTAAACGGTTCCACATCGTAATGTCGACAATATATACGTTTTATTACCAAGACACCGAGCAGTGACGTCATACATATCTGCGCAGCCTGAGCAAGTGCACTACATTTCGAGTGTTGTGCTCGTGTGACAAACGTTATTTGAACAGTGGAGCGTCGACTATGGACTCTACCATGCTCGCCGCATCGAACAGTCAGAATCGTGTACTCCAGTTAGTTGCGATGGTGAACGTGACATCGTCCACAGTATTAGATGCGACACTGCGGTTGCATAACGTCTCAACTAACGACAGCATACCCGGTAGACCGTGGCCAGGGTGGATACGAACATCGGTTATTCCGCTGTTCTTCGGTATTGTGTGCTTCCTAGGTATATTAGGCAACGGAACAGTAATTGCAGTTTTGCTACGTTTCAATAACATGAGAACGGTGCCAAACATATATATTCTAAATCTGGCTTTCGCTGATCTTTTGTTCATGTTCAGTATACCCTTCTTGGCGTTCCAGTACGCGACTTCGAACTGGGTGTTTGGACAGGCGTTGTGTAAAATTGTTTTCGCCGTGGATGGAATGAATATGTTCACAGGAATATTCATTTTGACTGCTATGAGTATTGATAGATATTTTGCAATAGTACATGGAATAACTTCGATTAAATATCGAACAGTACGTAATGCTCGCATGATAAATTGTTGCATGTGGCTGTTGTCAATCTTGGTCACGCTCCCGCTCTGGATATACTCCTCGACAGTCTCCACAAACCCCCAACAAGTAAAATGCGATATCGTCTGGCCCAAAGAAGTGTTCAGTATGTATTTTACTATTTATGCGTTTGTGCTTGGATTTGCATTACCGGTTACAATCATTTCGGGGTGCTATCTGTCGTTGGTGATCTATATTGTGCGATCGAAAGGACCCCGATCAGAAAATCCCAGAAAGTCGACGGGGTCTCGCAAAGTGGCTTTATTGGTGCTTTCCGTCGTAGCTATGTTTGTCATATGTTGGCTTCCGTTCTATGTCATACAGTTTGTTTTGTTGTCAAACCAGGACGTAACGCTAGCAATTTACATCAGCTACTACAGCAGCTTATGTCTGAGTTACGCTAATAGTTGCCTTAATCCAATTGTGTACACATTCGCCGGGGAAAACTTTAGAAAGAACTTGAGTAAGATTTGTCACCGTCGGCGGCGAAAGCGAAGAAAAATTCAACGGGGACGGCGAGTGGTGAAAAAGGGTATTTTTAAAAAAGCTTCAAGAATGAGCTGGACATTGGCTAACTTCTCCTCGAATGACAATGCTAATTACGGAAATACTCTAGGTACGGCTATAGAACTTGATACTACTACAACAACTACTGAGTCTTGTCAACTGACCACATACTCTGATATCATTTCTGATGAACCAATGTAAATTTAGTTCACTTAACCCATGCGCACACTGTATACGTAGTGTACATAGTGATTGTAGTATGCAGTAGTTTTATCGACTTTTTCAGTCCAGTAGTAGTTCCTACAATTTATATATTGCCAAGAGAAGGTTTCTGATTATGGTCTATTGTATTGCCGTTTCTAGGTACTCTACTTTGAACCTTGATGTGCAGCAGTCTGAATCGGTGGAATATGTTATAATATCCATGCTACATACGACGGAAACCTCGGGAACTTCCGGACTGACTTAGCTTGTTTCCAACCTACATTATATGTAAGTAAACCACTAAAAGAACACAAACTACGTCATGCAGTGGATCCTCCAATGAAAGCTTGGATATCTCAATTGCTGTCAAGAGATTAAAGGTAGAACGTCTGAAATGTACGAGGAAATAGTGACGTCATAGTGACGTAGTTTGGGACGAGTGACGACCTGCGGTGATCGATGATAAATGTGCGAACGTCGTTGGCAGATCGATATCCCGTCGACCTAAATTATAGATTTCACAATAGTATATAACATAGCACTGTTTTCAGATGGCCTGAGTACACATGAATTGCAATTGAGTGTGCCCGAGTGGACGACTGGCACGTTGACAGTGTAACGATGTTGCATATAAGAACTTGTATTACAATCAGACCATATGCCAAGCGTTTTGCCAGTGATATACAAATTCAGTACACAGGTAGTATTGGGGGAAAAAGTAATTTGTGGATTTCGATATACAATTTGTATTCTCACGATATCTCATATATGGAATTGATTATACTCTGGTCGACATTACAACGTACTGAGTTTTCGAGGATGGTCTACCTAATATTTGGTATGCAATTTGTGGGTCCATATGCAATTTAAAATGCTACATCGCCGCGTGTGTTGTTTGTGTGTTCTTGTGCGTGTGTATAAATGATACGTATTTTCAAAGACTTTCAAATTGAAATGTGAATTGACTCTAGCTTAATACTCATTGTATACGTAATTCATCTATCAATACAAAATTCTTTATTTGAAATATAAATGATACAATTTGAATTTTTTTCTATCGCAGTTCGTGCTCACGGCACATCATTTTGTCTAATGAAGGTGTTCATAATAAGTGACGTGTCTGTTCTTTATCGCCTCACCGTTAAACCAGGAAACTACGCACGTATATAGACATATTTGAACAACTCAAAAATCAAATTGACGAGAACGTAAATACGGACCTTATCGGTGGTGATTTACGACGTGTAATGTAATAAGCACGTAATACGTCTGTCATAACATTTGCTGTTTTAAACAAATATGGCATTCTTCGTTAACAGTCGTTCACGTTATTACCTACATATTGGCATTGCCCGTAGTTATATGCGCTGAAATTACGCTCGATTTAGCCGTTAATAGTCGAGTGAGCTGCGATAAATCGTGTCTGTGCGCAGGCAAGATCGTAAAGTAAATCAAGTCTCAGTACGCTAGCAGCGAACGAAGTCATTACTTGCGTGAGCCCATCTGGGAGCGTGTGATTGATAAACCTCGGTGTGATTACGTTCTTTAAAGAGGCGTACTTTTAATTTCAACGACTCTGGCATTCCACTCCGTGGCACCTAAAGACGACGCGCATTTTGCTAGCTATTTGAACGTAGCTAATGGTACTTCGTACATCGGCACAAACTAGAGTATTATACGGATGTTCATAACGAGATAATGATTGGCTTTAAAGTAGCCTCGTCACTTACACTCAATAATGAGATTACACCACACTGCCATTTTATAGGGAAAGATTCGTGTAGCGGCAAATTAAAACGGGGTCAAATTGCGACATTAGAACATGCCAAGATCCTTGTTTTTGCCTTAGCTTAATTGACTATCATTACAAGTCACCTCTGGCAGCGCAGCCAAGTACATTGTACGTGTACTGAAAGCCAGCGGTGCTTCGCCAACCCAACATGATGCCCGGATTTAACAATGATATTTGCTTCCTAAGGAATTTCTACTCTACTTAATCCAGCGCTCAGAGAATACCGTAATTTCCTTCACTACTGGGAATACAGTGCCACTTATCAGGGTGGGCATTATCACAAGTGTTCGCTGTGCATTTGAAAACTTACACGTGAATATATTTGAAATTGACCGTAAAGTAAGTGCTATAAAATGAAAATATCCACGGCGTACTGGCTGTTTAGTGGTGTTGTATTAAAGTGACGTGTCAGGGGCGGTGGACGCAATCTTACTTATGATATGCGCTGAAAGGTTTATCATGTTAGAAAGAATTGGCAACGTGGGGACCTTTTTTTTATTTCAGTAATGGCATACCACGAATACAAACTCGCGCTTATCATTGTTTTCTTTGTTTGAAAAGGGATGCTTCTTTATTAAAACGAACATAGAAATACGCTAAATAGATATTGAATATGTGATTTTGTTGTCGATTTTTTTCTGGATCTTTCATTGATTGATAATTATGCATTGATATCATGTATTGGTGAATCAAGATTGCTTTTAAGAAGAAACGTACAACGTCTAGCCACAGGGTGTTGAGGGACTGTGGTCTAGCCAACGCGCATATGTAACGCGGTGACGGCCGCGCGTGGATAAATGCAAATTTCAAATATAGAGTAATTTCTAAGAAAACATTTCTGCAAAAAAAAAAAAAAAAAAAAAAAAACACACACACACACACAAAAAAAACGATTTGCACCTATCTTAATGGGAAGTCTCAACCTGCTTTTACACGATAGATACATCTAACAATTAAAGGTTTAGTTTATCACACGGCATCAGGATTTTAAAGACAACATTGACAGAGGTTTACAGTTATTACACTCGCCAATGACGGCAATTGAGTGAGCTCGTAAACGTAAATCCCACTCTTTCTCGTATCTCGTTTGTGATAATAGTCTTTAAGGAGTCGGCGTATTACAATAAGCTCTCGTCGGTAAATACATCAATACGGCAAATCTAATCCTTTTTACGGTGTAAATATACCTTATATTATAAGTGTATATAACAACCTTCCGTCTATGTGTTGTGTTCGTATAATGAGATGATGTAATTGTATACAACAGAAATGCGTCACAGCCGGGTACCTTGCCAACCATTTGGAGACTTAATTGTCTTACAGTCAATTACATTGCACTTTGATATGAATATGGAAATAAATCGGCTAACATTCAACTAACATTCTCATGCTTGCAATTCATATAATAACATGGGGGGGGCTGCATATCGCATAGCAATACTTTGAACAAACAAACAAACAAGGGAACATTACGTAATCGATTTCGTGATGTCAGGAATCTCGAAGCGAGCGAGAACATTCGGCTCCACTTGTTTGGAATAATTCATAAGCTACGTTATGCTCTTTACAGTCTCAAGATTCTGTGATCGATAGTGTTACGAATACGTGATATCCATTCACTAAGGCATGTAACCTGTCTGTTCTACAAGAAATAATTCGACAAATGAGGTACGCGTTCTTGGACTAGTAAAACGAGTGGGTCTTGGATTGGATCGAAGCGTACATTGAAGAATATAGAACGATGGTTGAATAAATCAGTCGCTAAAATTAAAAATTGTCCCTTCTAATGTAAATAAATCATGTAAATACAAGTAACTGGATGTTGAAAATGTGATTTGAGTATCCGTATTGTATTTTCATATGCTATGTTATCCCCCGACAAAGTGTTACCATGGTAATGCTCACTGAACATCAGATGCTATCTGATTATCATCTTGTTTTCTCGCTCTGCGTTTGTCAAATTAATATGTTCCTTGTATTGTGTTTGTTTATGTGAGTGTTCTAATCCATGATCACACCAAAGGAACTCGGACGCAATTATTCTTTTACTTAAAAAAACACCGGATTCGAGTCTCCAGTAATTGTCATTTAAGTGCTGATTGGCTATATCGCTGTAGTAAAGTACGTTATAGTAAAATATCAAACCACCAAACTCTATGCTCCTTTCAACTGCATCGGAGGTATGATAATGATCAATTAGGGCTCGAGTATAAGTCAATTAAAGTCCAACCCCGAGAAGTCTGACACACCTACACTCGTGTTACATTAAATATAGTTCACCGAAAATCGAATCGAAGTGTGGAATAATGAATAAAATATACTACTATGAGGAAAATTTGAATTCCACATTTAAAGCGGGAGGGTCGTCACCTGCGTACACGCAGGGAATTGAGTCCCAATCGACGATAACAACACACGCTAAAAACGCAAAGGCTCATGGTAGACGCTTGTTTGTAAGCAATGACACGCTATGGCCATCTGACGCATACGCAGGTGACGACTCTCCCGCTTTAACTGTATCTCGGCGACAATAAAGACGAATCTAGTACCATTCAATTATTTATACCAATATGAAGGAGATTCAGTACACACTAGTCGCGGCGAAATACAAAGTTTTTTTAGTGTCTTTGGTTTGTTTTAATAAATGTGTTATTTTATAGATGCTTCAGCATGGTACTTCGCGGATCTCAATTTATCAAAACATGTTGATTTGAAGTTTCGATTGCAGGGCGTAATCGATTAGTCTAGTCGATAGTCTATGTCGCAAATGACAGAGACTGCATCGACCGCGTACAATTTTTGTTATTCTCACCTCACGAGGGGAGATGCTAACCTGCACAAAATGTATTCAATATTCACACCAACCCCCAAACCCATAATTTTGGCTTTTTGGTTGCACAGTTCATATCAGAAAAAAATTTTTGAACTTTGGCCTTAAAACTAACCTGGTGTATAGTTTAAAAGCATTATCTACTCATTCTATTGCGAACATGTATATAAACATAGTGTGACCTTTAACCCTTTGTCCTAAAAATCTAACCGGGTTATGCGAGTTACCCGGGGAACATGTCTTTAAAGACGCTACAAATTTCCACTTTTGTAGTTATATAGCAAAAAAAATACACATTGTGACCTTGACCTTTTTGTCCTTGAAATGTCACCAGTCTTGCGGATTAAATAGGAAACATGTATGTCAAGTTTGAAG